AATATATCCTCCAAACACCGGCATCTCGGGCATTATCATTTAGATATCACAAACCCCAGAGGTGCCTTATTGCTATTATAAACTGGTTACCAACGTAATGTTTTGTTTGTCATACACGTGGTATATGGTCTGATATACCACGGCTGTCAGCCAATCAGCATTCAGGGCTTGAACCACCCAGTTTATAATTCCCTATAACACACGGTACATTTGCACGGTAGAATTCAATGGCGATAGTTCATTCTTCCATGTTCAGTAGATGTTGAACACATTTCTACTGGCAAATAAACACATTTCTACAGGCAAATGTGTTCGATTATAGCCATGGTATGAAATAATCAACTCGGGGCTCTATGCATTCTCTGGAAAATAAAGCAACACCATTCCGCTGGTGTGTCGTGGAACACACCTTCCACATCGCTCATTATTTTCCATAGAACGCATAGCCCCTCGTTGATTATCCCTTACATATTGCACATTTCTACAAGTTATTGATGCGAACATAACTAATCGTAAAGTATGGGTGAACTATCTCTTCAAGGTCATGTTAAGAGAACTGAGCACTGTACTAGACTGAGAGCTGTGTGCCATTGACAATGGGGCTGCAGAGCTGTTATTAGTGGCTGTATCATTCCCCATGTCTAACCTACACACATGGATACCCTTGGGAAATAATGGGTCAGACACAGACCTCTAGACAGAGCCATTTACCATGTATGGCTCACCCCGTCCTGTCTGTCTGTCATATTCTGTCTCTGAGTGTTTGTGAGTGTGTGTGTGTGTGTGTGTGTTTGCGATCCCTATTCTCTAACTCCATCTCCCCAGCCATACTCCCCATGGGAAACCACCCACGGTGAGCTCCACAGACAGACAGACAGACAGACAGACAGACAGACAGACAGACAGACTCCTATGGCATGAAGGAAAGCAGATAACGAGACTGGAGGAACAGGGGAGCATCCAGTGGGGACCGGAGTGCCTACACTCTCTGTCTGCAGCGGATTTTCAGAGTTACTAAGCAGGAAAACGTATAGGGCTAAACTTGCAGTAGCATATAAACTTAACACACAGTAAAAAAGAAAACAAGCAGTACTGGACAGTAAACAAAGACACTGCATAAACATTGCTAAAACTGGTGTTATCTCTGAACCATCCATATAGCTGTGACCCAACCTTTTCTTGGGGTGCGTCTGAAATGGCACCCGATTCCCTTTGGTGCACACAATATATGGAATACATAAGAATTTCCGACACAGGATGTATCCCAAATGGCACACTATTCTCTATATAGTGCACTACTTTTGACCAGAGCCTTATGGGTCCAATCAAAAGTAGTACACTATTTAGGGAATAGAGTGCCATTTGGGAAGCATCCACAGCCTTGGTTTGTTTGTGCTTGTTCGCCGCCCCCTCCTCCTCCCGGCCATTGCAAATGCTGGTCGTATAAAGGAGTAGTGGTGCAGAGGCACAGTGTTAAATAGTCCTTATCTATCTATGCCATTAGGGTTCTGTTATAAAGGCTTTGCATTATTCAGTAGGCACTGGGAGACTGATTATTACTGATCACAGTCCATTCTCGCAATTTTGCATCCCAAATGGAATCCTATTCACTTTAGAGTGCACTTATTTTTTTTAAAGGCCCTGGACTCTGGTCAAAAGATTTTGCACTACAAAGGCAATAGGGTGCCGTTTGGGATGCAGACCCAGAGGGTGAGTCCAGCTATGCTATATTATCTAGGCTGGAGCTAGCGTATACAGCCTCTGAACGGAGTTGGTGCTATTAAAAATGCTGGATGGCCATTGTGGACCCGTTTTTCCCCTAGGTTTTTGCTTAGGCGAGATGCACAGGGGCCAAAAGGACCTTTGAGAGCTGTGAACACGAACATTTTCGATTGAATTTAAAACTAACTTGGAGGGATGCAGCTGAGCTAGGTAGAGGCAGACCGCCCCACTAATAGACTCACAAAGTTGGTGCAGTGGACCATCACAAGATCATTACAACTGTCCACATTTCACTGATCCTAAGCTCTGGCATGTAAACTGCTGTCATTTTAGTCGAAAGTGCTCCAAACGTTGCAATAAGACTACAAATCTTACTAATTAAAAATAACCAAATCTGCCCAGAGTCCTCAGTCACAACTCTGGTTGTTTATGCAATTTCTCCTGTCTAAAAAAAATGAGGAAAAACTGGCGGAGATATCAAATAGAGGAGAGGAAGCCTTTGGCCGAGCATATGGCGCTGCTCTTTTTTATACAGCAGATATGAAGGATAAATATGAATATATATCTGAGGCAAGCTGCTGGACCTACTCTGGTCTCCCAGTAGGATTGTATTATGTCCCAGCAGGGTTAGAGTTCAGCTTAATCGTTTACAGTACTGTGGATCTAATGCATAGAACACTGGCTAATTTGCTCCCTGATGGTAAACAGCTATTGTATTGCCTGTTGGGGCTGGGCGACAGATAATGAACATTAACATGATGACCTATGCATATACTGAGAGTGCCCTAATGACAAAGGCTGAAAATGTATGTTTTCCAACAGCACCCTTTTCTCTGTATAGTGCACTACTTTTGACCAAAGTCCTGCCTTACTACCTGCCACTACCCAGTCAAAGGTAGTGCACTATGGAATAGGGTGCAATTTGATACGTACAAAGCGCCTTGTTTATGTACATGTGCTGAGATAAGGGGGATTTGCAACATGAGCTCTTGCAGGCAAACAATTAGACTTTGCCATTAACCATTTGTTATCTTGACTTTTTCCCGCCATTGGCTTGGCACCTTGCTGATTACAACGCGAGCGATCGATAATTAAACCAATTAAACTCGACAGATGGGTCCATTTACGCCTTTTTTGTTGTTGTTGCCTGAGACCGCTTCCGTGTCACAAAGTCTTATACAACTATATTTTCAGTTGATAAAACATTGTAAGCTTCTTTATTAAGTCTAGGATTTGAGTGCCCATGTATTTCACAAGAGAACCGAGTCTGTAGGCTAACACCTTGTGCTGCTGTACAGGGTGCTGATTTGGTGCAGTGCTGATTATTTTATAGGCCTACTGGTTGAGAGAAAATAGCTATGCTGCGGTGTAGTAGCCTCCCACTGGGCACAGACGTCAGTACAACGTCTAGTTTTGATTTACATTTGGTTGAGTTGTCAACTAACGTGAATTCAACGAGAAATCAACAAAAAATGGCACCATGTCATTGGATTTAGGTTAAAAGTTGAGTGGAAAAAAAGACATTCCTTTAGGTTGATGAGGTTTTTCAAATCCAATCAGTTTTCCACGTTGATTCAACATCATCACTTTGCTTCTTTTTGTTGTTGTTGTTGAAACAGGGTTGATTCAACCAGTTTTTGGCAAGTGGGCTAGGCCTAGTAGATTTACCAAAGCCACTATAGGCCTATATTAAAATCAGTTTCCAGATCATTTCCAGCAGCTCATCAATATCTCATCTCGCTCCAAAAGGGGAAATCAAATATTTCCAACGACATCATTCTAACGGACCTTTGGCGCGTTTTCCCTCATTGCATCTAATAAATATTTATGTGATAGCCTCGGTGCTTGTTACGCAACAACCTGTTAAATTAATTATTTGAATCCATTTCATATCCTTTTAGCACCCCTCGGATGGATGGTGAGGGTTTGAAGAACGGTAGTTCACCGTTCCTTTTCGTTTGACTCAGCATGCGTGAGGAGGACATGGTTGCTCTGTGAGGAAATGTAGCCTACATGGACTCGATCACTGACTAATTATCTATTTGCTTAGACTATGATACGTTCATGATTCATGCATTTACTTTGCCTAACGTGTTTTCTTGGGTTGCCGAATTGGGTGATAAGATATGGTCTATTCTTGCATGGATGTGCAAAAATTAGAACCTTAATGCCAACTGGTCTGATTAAGGTATAGTGCAGACAATTAATAATCATTTCATTTGAATAAAGTGAATAAACTAACTGCTTGCAATGAATATGCCAGAGACACATTTGAACCGGAATCCTCAGTAGCTTACCTCATAAATGAAAAAAAAAATCCACAAGCTGAATTTAAAGTTTTATAAGGCATCCAGGAGGAGTTCAGACTAAGGAGTCCAGACTATGGGCAAAATACTAATAGCCTAATGCAATACTTTTAATTTGAATGTATGTCATGTATAATGGATTGTGTGATGAACACACAGGCAGGTAGATTCATTGTGAGGGACACATCTCGGAAATAAAACATGACACTGCACCGAGATTGCATCAGATAAACCCATATCTGTGGGGAAATATGGGGATGAATGAGACACACGCCAACTGGTGGAAGGTGAGAGAGAGAGCGAGAGAGAGAGAGAGAGAGAGAGAGAGAGAGAGATAATACTCAGTGGGACAGTCAGAGAGAGGGACGCTGCCAGGATCCTCACTCTAGGAGCATGGGGAGTGGCTTCCTTTAAGGTGGACCTTCAGAGATGTCAGAATGAACTCCATGTGTAACACATAGGCTATACTAGGCCTAATGGAATACACGAGTTAGCTCAAATTCAATCACTTCAATGTACTGTACTGATATATGACTTCGAAACGACAGTAGTTTAATCTTATTTTTATTTTTTATGAATGCCAGTTAAACTTCAGAATGTAAAGCAGACTGCCATCTACAATATATTTACTCCTGGTAAAACCAGTTCATCTTCTCCTATTCTCACTTATGTATTTGTAAATGTGAATTGCAGACCATAATAATAGCAGCCTATGAAACTAAATCCTAAAACAGTATAGGCTTAGTAGCAGTACTTTAGCGTACTCTGTCGTGCATTTATGTCAAATAGCCTACAAAAACAATCAGACTGACAAGAGAATAGCCACAGTGTGCAGTGGTGTAAAACATACAGTATAGCTTTCTAATCGCCCCGGTCCACCTTAAATAAGAGGCTGGACGTGATTAAGCAGCACAACCTGCTTCCTCCCCACTGTGATGCAGAGAACCTGCCTCAGCGCTGCCCTCATCCCGACTGTAGCTAGCCTATAAAAACTAGGACGAGCAGAGCTGAAACCTCACAGCTACAGACAGTGGACAGCTCCTTGGTGCTGAAACTAACCGCCTGCAAACACACTCAGCGGCTGCAACACCACACACATGCCAGGAAACATGCCTGGAATCATGGAGGGACACTCTTGGCAACTTTTCCTACTTTCTTTCTTAGTTTTGGAGGGGTCGACGCAAGATTTCGGACAGACCCAGTTTATTTGCACGTCTGTGCCCAAGGATATGGACTTGTGCGCGGCTACGATGCAGAACACCGGTCCGGCGGAGGACTTGAAGACGACGGTGATGCAGTTGAGGGAGACCGTGTTACAGCAAAAAGAGACCATTATGAACCAAAAGGAGACAATCAGGGAACTAACGTCCAAGTTGAGCCGGTGTGAGAGCCAGAGTCTGCCCGAGGCCGGAGCGGGAGGCCGGAGAATAGTACCGGGCGCTAAGAACACTATGGGGGATGTTTCAAGGGGTCCTCAGGACACTCTCGCTCAACTAGGACAGACTTTACAGACCCTCAAACAGAGGTTGGAGAATCTTGAGGTAGGCATTGGGGTTTGTTTGACATCCCTATTTTGAACTAGCAATATGGAATGCAGGTTGAGCTTTCAATCAACTTTTAATCATTTTTACGCGTTTCCAATCGGCTCGGTTGGTTCTATAGTTGTGAATTGCTTGCTATAGGGTTATTTTAGTCCAGTCACTAATGCTATAGACCTATTTAAAGCTATTTTTCCGCATCCAACCGGAAAGTAATTACTCTAGAGCACTAAATGAAGCCGCACCACACTCTTGATAAGGACAGACAGACGCCTCATCTTTGGACCAATTTAGGCACTTGATGCAAATTGCCGAGGCAGTAAGTCCTCCACAAACGAGCTAAGCACCAGAGCTTTACCCACGACGAGCCCCGCCTCGCACATGTAGGATTGTTTATTTAAACCCAAAGTTATTTTAATCGTCCCATCTTGTCTGTTCCTCTGTCCTTGTTCCGTTATACAGCAATACAGCCGAAACAACGGTACGGCCCAGGCGAATAGTCTGAAAGACCTGCTTCAGAACAAGATTGATGATATGGAGAAGCAGGTGCTGTCCCGGGTCAACACCCTGGAGGAGACCAAACCGGGTCAGAAGAACGATACGGACCAGCGGAATCGAGTGGAGTCCACGCTGACTTCCATGCATCACCGGATAACGGACCTAGAGAAAGGTGAGTGAGCTATGGGGCAAAGAGATCATGCCCAAATATACACAGTCAATATAATTGTTCTGTTCATGTGAATGCTTATAAACGACTAAACTGATTACATTATTTTGATAATAATTTGCGCATTTAGTTTTAATAGTAAAAAAAATAAGGGCACCAGAATCATCCAAATGTGGTGGAATTGGCTCGTTCAATGGTTTATATTTCTAAAATAATGCCAATTTCTAAAAACAACCCTGCATTTCACTTGGTTAATTGCCTGGCCCACATGAGCTTGTCAATACAGACAGTGCCGCAGCGCAGCTATCACCACTGTGGTGTGCGGGTTTGTGTAAGGGGAGATGGGAGATGAGAGGGGGAGGTAGCTGCATTGCTTTGCATATCTCATATTAACACAGTGATGCCACACTGGGATAATAATTCACGTGTCAGGGAGCGACAGCCAATGACGCTTTATTTCCAGTGACTGTGAACGAGAGTCGTTGGTTTTGTAGGGGACATAGCGGCGCAGGAACTTTACAACAGGTTTTTAACGATGTGCGCAGTGCTGGATATAGAGCGCACAGTGTTGGAGACAAACAGGCGCATTTTGGAACATCGATCAATGTTTAGTTCAACTCCTTACTGGGAAGAATGAGGGGGTTGGAGGTGAGGACGGGATGAGAGAGAGAGAGAGAGAGAGAGAGAGAGAGAGAGAGAGAGAGAGAGAGAGAGAGAGAGAGAGAGAGAGAGAGAGAGAGAGAGAGAGAGAGAGAGAGAGAGAGAGAGAGAGAGAGAGAGAGAGAGAGAGAGAGTGAGTGAGTGAGAGACAAAGCTATTCCTTGTTTGCCCTGCTCACGTGGTCACATCATACCGCAGAGAATAGGCTAGGAGAGAGATGCACAGTCTGTTCCAAGCCAATGATATAGAACAGAGCATCGTCAAACTAAAGAGAAAGGAGAAAACCTTTAGTTGGGGATCGAAAATCTCAACTGGTGGAGCAAACCATGCATACGATTAAACCAATCAATCAATCACATGATATGACATAACTGACTATAACATAGGCCTATGAGTGCAATGTAGATTATATAAATCACTGAAAGGTAAACAAGTAGGCATATGTTTCGTCCGCAGGTGGGAAAGACAACAGACCACTGGACAAGTTCCAGCTGACATTCCCGTTGAGAACCAACTACATGTACGCCAAAGCCAAAAGAACCCTGCCGGAGATGTACGCCTTCACCGTGTGTCTGTGGATTAAATCGAATGCGTCGCCTGGGGTGGGCACACCTTTCTCCTACGCTGTCCCGGGGCAGGCCAACGAGCTGGTGCTGATTGAGTGGGGAAATAACCCGATGGAGATACTCATCAATGATAAGGTAATGATCGCTGATGGCAATGGCATATTCTACACCGCATGTGGCTATAGGCAAAATGGACAGATCGCCCTGCGTAAATGTGGTGTGCCAGACTAGCAAATTAAGCTACGCCGCTACTACACAGCATTATGCAATGTATGGGAAAGTTATGGAGACGTTACAAGCAACTTAATTATAAAAAATATTGCATTTACAGACAGTGCTATGTCTGAAAACATTAAAAACCATAGCAATCATTAGTTCTAGGGCAGGCCTATTTGAACATACAGTAATGGGTGCGCTGTCCATGCTGCAGGTGGCCAAGTTGCCGTTCATCATCAACGACGGGAAGTGGCATCACATCTGCATCACTTGGACCACGCGCGACGGGATGTGGGAGGCGTTTCAGAACGGAGTGCTGCGGGGCAGCGGAGAGAATCTGGCGCCATACCATCCCATCAAGCCGCAGGGGGTCCTCGTATTGGGACAAGAGCAGGTAAGAGGGTTCACTAAATGAGGATGAACTAACTTTAGATTAAATTGGTATGCAAATCGTGATATATTCTTGAGATAAATGGCTTGGGGAAAATAATTATATCCATTAGTAATGAAAATATTAGAGCACGTTTTCTCTCCAATGATCATTAATGTGATGGGAAAGTTGAGAGACCTTGGACGAAATTGTCAATTAAGACGTAGCCATCTAATTAAGGCCCTCGAGCTAGATATCGTGGAATACCCCAACTCAATTGTGACAATGCACAATCTACTTCAGATAGAAAAGTGGGAAATCATTAGCAATTACAGAGTTATAGGCATTACAGAGTAATAGGCATGTCGTGAAAAGCAAATAATGGCGCATGGCCAGCCGTGTGTAAATGGTTAAATTTGGGCTTTGGTTGTGGTGGAACTGTCACTGAGAGTGGTTGCTTTTTATTATAGTTTTATGATAATTAGAAATCAGTGCATTTCCATGGTATAGGCCAACTGTGTTCCAACCCCAATTGTATTCCTTCCTAATACAGTACAGGATGATTAGCCTATTACACACATTTGTAATAGTACCGACATTTCGCGCCACTAACCTTGAACTTGTCATCTTGTTGCTCCACAGGACACGCTGGGGGGAGGTTTTGATGCCACACAAGCATATGTAGGTGAGCTAGCAAATCTCAACATGTGGGATAGGAAGCTTTCCATCGGGGAGATTTATAACCTGGCAACCTGCAACAGCAAAGCGCAAACTGGCAACGTATTCTCTTGGTCAGAGTCCAACATTGAAATATTCGGTGGAGCTACCAAGTGGACATTCGAGCCGTGCCGTTCGCTCAACTGAACTGCATTTCGACATGAAACCAAGGCCAATCCGACATATCTGTATTTGTTTTGAGCTTCTGTCGTTCTTGTCTTCATTATGACGTTCGTTACAGACGATTTGGTATTTATTTAATGATAAGCTTAAACCTGGGATTTCTATTAGATATTTATGTGCGAAACAACTTTTTTTGATCTTGAGAAAAATCTCATTCGTCTTGGAAACCTCAGTTGGACAGTGTTGGTATCTGTTTGTTTGTTTTTCTTTTGGAGTTTTGTTGCAAGCGCACTTTAGCTTTTTTGATTCGCTTATTTTGTCTTGGACCTGCAGCTGGGCAATCCACGCCTTATGTTGGACAATTCACAGCACAGTGTGGAATTTATGGAGCCATCCTCTAAAGTGGAACTCACGCTGTCCGTCCAAGTCTTGTCAGTATTTGACGCCATTAAATGATACAGCTCCCTCCAAATCCCTCAACCTCACCCACCCCTCCGGATCTTGCACTGTGAATGAATAGAGCCATGTAGAGAGAGGACGCCGAGGATTCGTTGAAGGACACTGCAAAGTCGGACTGTAAAAATCATTTGTAATTCTCGTTCGCTTCAAAGTGTTTCCTGTAGACCCTGTAAACGAATGTCATTAATTGCCAACATGCTACAAAGCCTGGGTGCCTTGGGCTGGTGCAAATATTGAGCACATACGTTTTATGTTGCAAATTATATGTATTGTTTGTTTTATATTTATTTTGGGGGAGGGTGGGAGTGTTTCTTGTTATTATTCTGATAAATGTAATTTAATTGAGGTTTGTTAACGGATATGATGACGTGTTTGGGCAGGTGTTTGTATCTGTATTCGGAATGTTACAGTGTCTGTATAGTGACAGCATGACTGAGTGACAGAATGCTGCCACATCCTCTTCGACATCAATCTGCTTGACTATCCTTTCTGGGGACTGGGTGGTTTTCTACTGGATTGTTATATGCTCCAAGCATGGCAACACAGAAAGATGTGAAAAATATCTACTTTTTGTAATAAAATTGTGATACATAAGAGTTAAAAGTGTATTCCTGGGCTGGCATTAATGGGATGCAGCAAAAGGTGTGGATGAGAGAGAGAGTGAGAGAGAGAGAGGGATAGAGAAAGTGGGAGAGAGAGGGAGAAACAGGGAGAGAGAGAGAGAGACTGATAATTATTACTTGTTAAATCTGATTTAATCTTGTCACATAGTGTAGGAGAAAGAAATTAGTGCTGGATAAGTGAAAAAAACGCCTGAACTCAGACTGAAGGACAGAGAGGTGCTGGAAAGAACTGAAACAGTGTGTGTGGTATCTCTTTTTAGCTGACTGCAGAAGATAACACTCCCAAATGCTTTGTTGTGTGTGCGTGTGATTCAGGCGTGCACAATCTGCCCTAATAATGAAAGCGAGGGTGTCGAAAGAAGAAAACGCCTAGTCATATCACCCCCCCTTTTCAAGAGTCAGTTCAATCAGTTGCAATGCAATCTGAACCAAACCCACAGAACGCACTAGCTATACTGTACCCTATACTGCTCTATTTTGTTCAGTGCCATCCTCTCCCACCACAGAACACTGCAGTCCAGGATGCTGAATGCTGATGGTCTTGTACTTTGACAGTTACTGCATTGAGCTGAGTCAGTTATTATTCGTTATCACCCACGTATCAGATGGTGTAACAAACATCTCAGAGAAGCACCCACATTTAACTCTGCCTCTTGCAGCAAGGCTTTTGGAGAAATTGTGGTGGCCAAACGAGCCAGCCTGCACCATCATGCTTGGCTTGCTGTTACCATAGAAATCTATGGCCGTTACTCATAAATCACGTGGGTAGTTAGTCATCCAGAGGGAGAAGTGGGAGGGAAGGTCTCTTGAAAGACCAGTTAGAATAATTATCTTCCCTGAGGGCCAACATTGATCAGATAGTGAGCAATGAGCACCTATAGGCCTTAGATAGTAGGTAGCCAGAGGGAGAGATATGAGATGTAGTCCCTGACAGAAAGAGAAAGAGGTCCCTTGAGGTTACAGATCCTCATTAGCTCGGACAGAACATTCATACACAGCCCCACTGACCCAGAGACTCATTCTCCCAAGGTGCACTGCCTCTTACCCAAGGTCAAGAGCCCAGAAACAAAGTAATGAGGTGGGAGCTCTCCCTTAGAGAACAGGTGTCCTTGCTCTTCTCACTATCATCATTTCACCCTCATACAGAACACACACCAAACTGGACTGGTTATACCTGAGGCCTGTTTCTGAAGGGTCGAGAGAGTACATTGGACTCGGTCTGGCTCTGGTACCACGGTGCCAGAACCGGTTGGTAACCTAAAACACATTGGAATGGCGTTAGGTTAGTGGAGGAGTGACAGAGAGAGTTCTGGGCATATTCGGCCCATGGAAAGAACACCGACCACTCCCCCGGCCGTTCCTGGCAGTAGGACCGCAGGAACCTACCCACATCCTGATTTACCCATTCCACCTTCCCATTAGACTCGGGGTGGAAAGCAGAGGTCAGGCTGACCGAGACCCCCAGACATTCCATGAACGCATTCCAGACCTTGGATGTGAACTGGGGACCCCGGTCAGACACTACAGTGAGGGAAAAAAGTATTTGATCCCCTGCAGATTTTGTACATTTGCCCACTGACAAAGACATGATCAGTCTATAATTTTAATATAGGTTTATTTGAACAGTGAGAGACAGAATAACAACAAAAAAATCCAGAAAAACGCATGTCAAAAATGTTATAAATTGATTTGCATTTTAATGAGGGAAATAAGTATTTGACCCCTCTGCAAAACATGACTTAGTACTTGGTGGCAAAACCCTTGTTGGCAATCACAGAGGTCAGACGTTTCTTGTAGTTGGCCACCAGGTTTGCACACATCTCAGGAGGGATTTTGTCCCACTCCTCTTTGCAGATCTTCTCCAAGTCATTAAGGTTTCGAGGCTGACGTTTGGCAACTCGAACCTTCAGCTCCCTCCACAGATTTTCTATGGGATTAAGGTCTGGAGACTGGCTAGCTCACTCCAGGACCTTAATGTGCTTCTTCTTGAGCCACTCCTTTGTTGCCTTGGCCGTGTGTTTTGGGTCATTGTCATGCTGGAATACCCATCCACGACCCATTTTCAATGCCCTGGCTGAGGGAAGGAGGTTCTCACCCAAAATTTGACGGTACGTGGCCCCGTCCATCGTCCCTTTGATGCGGTGAAGTTGTCCTGTCCCCTTAGCAGAAAAACACCCCCAAAGCATAATGTTTCCACGGTTTGACGGTGGGGATGGTGTTCTTGGGGTCATAGGCAGCATTCCTCCTCCTCCAAACACGGCGAGTTGAGTTGATGCCAAAGAGCTCGATTTTGGTCTCATCTGACCACAACACTTTCACCCAGTTCTCCTCTGAATCATTCAGATGTTGATTGGCAAACTTCAGATGGGCCTGTGTATGTGCTTTCTTGAGCAGGGGGACCTTGCGGGTGCTGCAGGATTTCAGTCCTTCACGGCGTAGTGTGTTACCAATTGTTTTCTTGGTGACTATGGTCCCAGCTGCCTTGAGATCATTGACAAGATCCTCCCGTGTAGTTCTGGGCTGATTCCTCACCGTTCTTATGATCATTGCAACTCCACGAGGTGAGATCTTGCATGGAGCCCCAGGCCGAGGGAGATTGACAGTTATTTTGTGTTTCTTCCATTTGCGAATAATCGCACCAACTGTTGTCACCTTCTCACCAAGCTGCTTGGCGATGGTCTTGTAGCCCATTCCAGCCTTGTGTAGGTCTACAATCTTGTCCCTGACATCCTTGGAGAGCTCTTTGGTCTTGGCCATGGTGGAGAGTTTGGAATCTGATAGATTGATTGCTTCTGTGGACAGGTGTCTTTTATACAGGTAACAAACTGAGATTAGGAGCACTGCCTTTAAGAGTGTGCTCTTAATCTCAGCTCGTTACCTGTATAAAAGACACCTGGGAGCCAGAAATCTTTCTGATTGAGAGGGGGTCAAATACTTATTTCCCTCATTAAAATGCAAATCAATTTATAACATTTTTGACATACGTTTTTCTGGATTTTTTTGTTGTTATTCTGTCTCTCACTGTTCAAATAAACCTACCATTAAAATTATAGACTGATCATGTCTTTGTCAGTGGGCAAACATACAAAATCAGCAGGGGATCAAATACTTTTTCCCCTCACTGAATGTCCTCTGGTACCCCATAGTGCCGGAAGACGTGTGTAAACAGGGCCTCCGGAGTCTGCAGGGCCGTGGAGAGACCGGGCAGAGGAAGGAGGCGGCAGGCCTTGGAAAAGCGGTCCACAACGACCAGGATGGTGGTGTTATCTTGAGAGAGGGGAAGATCAGTCAGGAAATCAATACTTAGGTGAGACCATGGCCGTTGTGGAACTGGTAAAGGCTATAACTAAACCACTGGGAGGTGCCTAGGTGCCTTACTCTGGGCGCACACCGAGCAGGAGGAGACATACACCCTCACATCCTTAGCCAAGGTAGGCCACCAGTACTTTCCGGTCAGGCAGCGCACTGTACGACCGATACCTGGGTGACCAGAGGAGGGGGACGTGTGTGCCCAGTAGATCAGACAGTCACGGACAAGAGCAGGCACGTACTGCAGCCCAGCTGGACACTGAGGTAGAGATGGCTCTGTGCGTAATGCCTGATCGATATCCGCGTCCATCGCTCATACTACCGGCGCCACAATGCAGGAGGCCGGGAATATAGGGGTGTTGTCTCTGGGCCTCTCCTCTGTGTCGTACAGCCATGACAGTGCATCTGCTTTCACGTTCTTCGTACCCGGGATGTATGATAGAGTGAAATCAAACCGGGTGAAGAACAGGGCCCACCTGGCCTGGCGAGGGTTCAGCCTCCTTGCTGCCCGGATGTACTCCAGGATACGGTGGACCATCAAGACGAGGAAAGGGTGTTTCGCCCCTTCGAGCCAGTGCCTCCACACGGTCAGGGCTCGGACAACAGCCAACAGCTCCCGATCACCAACGTCGTAGTTCTGCTCCGCCGGACTGAGCTTCTTGAAGTAGAAGGCACAGGGGCGGAGCTTGGGTGGCGTGCCCAAGCATTGAGATAGGACAGCCTATCCCTACCTCGGACGCATCCTCCTCCACTACGAACAGTAGTGATGGATCGGGGTGGGCCAGTACCGGGGCTGAGGTGAACAGAACCCTCAGGTTACTGAAGGCCCTTTCAGCCTCAGCAGACCAGCGGAGCCGGGACTGCCCACCCTTCAACAGAGATGTGATGGGAGCTGCGACCTTGCCATGCCCCGGATAAACCTCCGATAGTTGTTGGCAAAGCCAATAAAGCGCTGCATCTCCTTTACCGTGGTTGGAGTCGGCCAATTACGCACGGCTGAAACGGACTGTTGGAAAAACAGACACTTTTCTGCCTTGGCATAAAGGTCATTTTCCAACAGTCGGGCCAGCACTTTGCGAACCAGGGACATATGTTCGGCGCGCGTAGCGGTATACACCAGAATGTCATTGATGTAGACCACTACACCGTGACCAAGCATGTCCCGAAACACCTCGTTCACAGAGGACTTGAAGACGGATGGAGCATTCATCAAACCGTAAGGCATCACCAGGTATTCATAATGCCCCGTGGTTGTGCTGAATCCTGTCTTCCACTCGTCCCCCTCTCGGACACACACCAGGTTGTACGCACTCCGGAGATCTAATCTGGTGAAGAAGCGCACCCCATGCATTGACTCGATCACCGAAGGAATGAGGGGTAGAGGATAACTAAATCGTATCGTCTCCTTGTTCAGTGATCGATAATCAATGCAAGGGCGCAGACCACCATCTTTCTTCTTCACAAAAAAGAAACTTGAGGAGGCGGGCGAAGTTGAGGGACGTATAAACCCCTGGTGCAGGAACTCAGTGACGTATGTCTCCATAGCCTCCGTTTCAGCCTGTGACAGGGGATACACATGACTCCTGGGAGGCACAGCGGCTACCCCCACCTGATGAGGTGGTAACTTGGTCGCACGGTGGAGGTACTGTCTGGACTTTCAACCGTGGTTAT